TTGGCCCGGGAAGGAGGTTTCAAACCGTGGAACAGCTGATGCCTGCTGTTCTCAGTGGTTTTAACGCTGTCTCAGGAGGACGGCTACAAAGTAGCCGCCATCGCCAGCGCTATACCACCGGAAGTCGGTGGAGTTTTGATTAGGGCAGGGGTCCCCAAACACCGGTCCATGGACCGGTACCAGGCCACGGCATGCCAGCAACCGGTCTGTATAAACAAGGAAAGCCCCATCCGTGGAATGCAGGCAGCACACAAAACCACGCACTCTCCGGTCATGGAAAAAACTTTCTCCACAGAACCGGTCCCTGGTGCCCAAAAGGTTGGTGACCTCTGGATTAGGGAAAGAGAAACACAAATCAATGTTTGAGGTAGCATTTGTGAACCTACAAAATCTGGTGGCAATGTCATGGCCAAATTTACCCACAAAGAAAATCTATGGCAAGAATTTTTTATTTAAAAAACAACAACTTCCTAATGCTCCTTACTTGCGTTTAGCAGAAATCCATGCCTATAAATGGATCTTTAAAATATTATTTTGAAACATAAGTTAGTTTAGCCTCTGTTTTTCTGCATCCATAGCTACTCTTTTCTTCTTTACTGCCGGATTTGGCACAGTTGGCAAGAATTTGTGTTATCATTTGAATAATGCTAAGTTTCTAATTGCTAAGGAAATTATAAATATTATTACTATCACATGAAGTAGGAGAGCTTCAGAATATATAATTAATCTCTAAAGTATTCAGATTTTAAATAGTAAGCTAGCTAAAGTTGTAATAATCATATAACAATTCATTTAACAGTTTTTCAATTAAAATGCTGTTTTAACATCACTAAATAACTCTGAGAGCACCTTTTTAGAATTCATACAATAGGCGTATTATAGAGCACTACTAAATGCTGCCACGGCTTTACCTTAGCTTCACATTGCTGTGAGTAATATAATTTTATTGATTTAGACTGTACATAAAGCACTACTACATGCTGCAGTTTCATTGATTTCACTTTTAAAATCCTGTTAAAATAAATTTGGCAATTTTATTTTCTCAAAAATTGAGTGAGATGTCATATAAGCAGGATAAATTCTTGGTATTTCTACATTCAGTGATATCTGTAAGCAAAAGTCATATACCATAATGGCTCTATCTGAATTAACACGTACGTTCTCCTGGCATCTACAGACAACCCTTGACTTAGGAGTCCAGAATTATAGTGATAGGTTGCACTTGTTGTTAAGCGGGTCATCATGTGACCATGCCAAATTTTACAGCCTGTTTTACAACAGTTGTTAAATGAACACAGCAGTCATTAAGTGAAAGTGGCAGTTGTTAAGCAATCCCAGCACTCATTAAGCAACCGCAGCAGTTGTTAAACCAACCCATTGTCCACAATGGGCATTTTTTATCGGAAAACAAGTAAATACTGCTTTCATCAAAAACTTCGTAAATCTCAGTCATGTGACTGCAGGATGCTGTGGGCCAATTACCAAGGCCCCAAATGCAATCATATGATCATGAGGGGGCGGAAGTGCTAAAACTTCAAATCCAGGTCGTAAGTACATTTTTTGGGGGGTCTGACGTAACTTTGAATGGTTGCTAAGCAGACTAGCAGATATAGGGCTACCTATACTATATCCAATTGAACACCCAAAGCTCTCGGATGTGGGCAGGAAAAATCTGGAAGAGCACTAGATGGCAGCAAAGAGTTATGGAAAATGATGACCTGCTGCTGCCAGATATGGTAATCCTTACTGTCTCCGAGGATATTCATGCACCTGAATGGGTCCCATTTTAAAAGCTTGCAGTTCATAGAAGTGGATATTTTGCCCATCTTTCTTTCTTTACATGGGAAGGTCCCATAACTGACAAGCAGAAATTTAATCCTGCATTATATGTTTGAGCTGTTTTGAGCATAAATGTGTTGCTTTGGTATTACCAGCAGGAGTCATTTTAGCTGTTTTCCAAGTTTGAAAACTCCTTTCCTTGCAATGATGTCCTTCTGCCTTTTGTTTAAATATGCTTGTATTAGTAGGAATAATGTGTAAAGAATATCTATAGTAGTAGAAATTGTGACAGACACGGCCCTGGAACCTAGAATTAGAAATCATTGTATAAAAGAGTTATGCTATCCCAAAGGAACCATGAGAGAACTATAAGTTTGGATATTGCTTCAAAGAAAATGTTTTTGTTTTTCCGATAATCAAATTCCTGACGGATAGGCACAGGATTGGCAGCCAAGCTCTGTTTTCTGAAAGGCGTGACTGAATCTTACAACAAAGCCATTTCACAAGGCTTCTATTAGTGTCAGTGCCAGTTTTAAAGGGTTACCTCTGGGTTGATTTTGTAAAATAACCTAGCACATCCCTGGAGGCATACATTTCTCAGTATGTACTGTAAATATTAAACAAAGTTATCAGCTGTCTGTTGGGGGGGGGTGCTTTTGATTTAAGAATTGTTTCAATAGAAAGGATGAAAGATTGTAAAAAAAACTGGCATGGGCCAATTTATTTTTTAGAATATTGAGAGAAACAATAATTTAATTAAGCAGCGAGACTGGTGGCAATCTCCATGATCTTCTAACAACCTTCTGGGGAGTTATTAAGCTTATTAAAGAAGAGCAAAACAGACTAAAAACAACAACCTTTTATAAATAAGACTTCCACCATTCTGTCTCTTTTCACTTTGTCCATCCCTTTCCTTTACAAAGAGTATGTCAAGTGAAAGTCAATGGACCAGGTTGCAGTCAATCAAGCAATTTTCCCAGTGTTTGTAAATCTGGGACATCTTCAAGCACCTGTACCCGTGGTGGCGAACCTATGGCACACATGCCACAGGTGGCACGCGGAGCCATCTCTGGTGGCACGCGAGCCATTGCTGGGCCGAGCTGCTCCCTCCTCCTCTCCGCGCATGCATAGTCTGGGAATAGGTGAGAGGCTATAAAAGGAGCAACTTTCTGCGGAAGCAGCATTTGCTTTAGACAACTTGAGAGTGAGCACGAGTAGGAGTGGACAGCGAGCGAGTGAGCAAGCACAAGCCGACAGCTTGGTGGCCACATCCACTCAGTGGCCATGCCCACCCGGCACCCAGTGATGCATAAGTGGGTTTTGGTTTGCAGTTTGGGCACTCGGTCTCTAAAAGGTTCGCCACCATTGACCTATACCAATTCTTTCTTCAATAGAAGAGAATCTTTGTAAGTCAGGTTAATTGTGAGGTCCTTAGTGCTCTCTGAGCTGGCTTGTTTTCTGGAAAACGTTTCATTACCTAACTAGCAGTGGTGGGATTCAGTCGGTTCGCACCACTTCGGCAGAACTGGTAGCTAATTTTTTGTTGCCCAGGCCCAGAATGGACTTCCAGAAGCAGCATCCACACGGAGAACCAGTTTTTCACATATTTGAATCCCACCACTGCTAACTAGGTATCATCTTCAGTGCCAGAAGGGAGTGGCTTTCTTTTCTGTTTATATATAGTGGCTTTTTCTGCCAGTGTTGGTGGGAATGTTGTTTTCTTCTTGGTAGTTTCTTGATTAGGTTGTTGTTTGCTGTTCGATTATTTGCCTGAGATGGTAATTCCTTGATTGGGATATTGTTTACTGCTTGATTGGTGGTCTGGTATTAATCCTGCTGTTAATCTGTTTTTATCTGGGTGTTGAATGCTAGCAAAAAGATGTTCTGGTCTTTTTGTTTTCTTTTTAGTTTTTCCATTGTCTGCTTTGAATGGTATGTGTAAACATTGTTTATCTCTATGTGCCTATTGATGGTTGCTTTGTTTGAGTGCATATTCAAATATATCAAATACCTTAAATCATGAATCTGAGCAACCTCTGCCTTATTACCAACAAATCAGAGCAACACCCATGGGATTACTACTCTCAGGAATCTTAGCAGAGACAGAAACAGTACACAACAACCTAATCAGGGTACTACCAAGAATAAAACCACACGACACCTGACAAGGAAAGCCATTATATACAAACACAGAGTAAACCCCACTCCCTTCTAGTACTGAAGAAGTTACCTAGCTGGGTAATAAAATATCTGCAAGAAAACATCCAAACTCAGAGAGCACCACAAGGGCTGCACAATTCTTTCCTCATAATACAAACTTTATTTCACAAGTTGTCATCAGCCTAAGGAATTCTTCTATTTACTCAAATATTCTTTCATGAAAGCTACTTCCTGGTATTGAAGACTATATTGAAATAAAAATCTCTGCTAACATTCTTCTACTACTTTCTGGGGCTAGGGTATAAATATGGGATGGCTCCTGATTTCTGATCTGATGTGACATTGAGATACAATCTGCCTTGCCATTTCAAGCCTTCTGTTTTTCTACCTGTTTTCTACCTATTTCAAAGAGTTCTTAAGTGTTTCAGTATTGGGAAACAGAAAGCCTCTTCTTGTGATTTCTGATCAGAACCAAACCAAGATATTCTAGCAACACTAAGGAGATCGCTTCAGATCCACATATGAAGTGAAATGACTGTATGGTTTGGTGCTCGTATTATGTAGGGCAGTGTTTTCTTAACCTCAGCAACTTAAAGGTTATGGACTTCCAACTCCCAGAATTCCCTAGCCAACAGGCCTTAGTTTCCTAAAAGAGGACCTGGTATAATGACAAGTTACCAGTAGAATCATTGACTGATGACCATGGAGCTTGATTTGTTTGGAACTTGAATGGGAAGACATTTGACAGTGTTCTTGGAGGCAAGGTAATAAATGTTTTCCTGTATCCTCCCACTGAACTTTCCCTATAGAAAGTATGAACAACCAATTAACTGGGTAATTGGAAATAAACACACCATCAGCAGCACCGTTTGCCACCTGCATATAAAGCAAATTTAAATTCAAACAGCATTTCAGATATGGAGAAGGATTTACAATGATTACCTAAAGATGATCCTTTCAGACAGTTTTCAGATATTTTTAATTGTGACCCATTTGGGAAAACTATGCATTTCTCTTTCTAAAAACAAACATATAAACAAGCATTTAATCTGATTTAAATACAGATGTAGCTGTATCCAATTCATCCTTCATCAAATTAATATTTGATTTTTGGAGGACGCCTAACCGGAAATCATCTGAAAGAGGTACAGTGTTTGAATTGTGAGAAACAGACCCATCTGCTATATACAACGGGGATTCAGAAGTAGTGTTTACCTGACCTTAATTCATACAAGTATGTTACAAAATTATTAAATAGTTTCAGGTTACAACTTTCACTTGAATATGAGCTATCTTTGGCCAAGACAATGAAAATGGATGGGTTTGCAGCTCACATATCAGAGGGCCAATTTGCTGCAGTGGTTAAGGTGCTAGCCTAGAAACCAGGAGACTGTGAGTTCTAGTCCTGTCTTTCACAGGAAAGCCAACTGGATGACTTTAGGCTAGTCACTCTCTCTCCGTCCAACTCACCACAGAGTTGGGGAAAATAAGAGGAGGAAGGAATAGTGTGTGTGTGTGTGTTTGCCACCTTGAGTTACTTATAAACTAATAATAAAAGTGGAATAAAAGAAATATCTAAATGAATAAAAAATAAATACCTTGTGCACTCTGAATTTATAGAAAGACAGTTTGGAATAGTGGTTAAAGGCACTAAGCTAGAAATCAGGAGGCTCTGAATTCTAATCCTGCTTTAAGCATGAAAGCAGCTGATGATTTTGGGCTAATCACTCTCTCTCAGCCCTAGAAGAATGATTATTTTCATAATATTGTCACGAGTCAAGACTGACTCAAAGGTGCACACACACACACACACACACACACACACACACACATCTGTATCCAAAGGTATCGCTATGGCGGCTGTAGAAACTATTCATCAGGTTTTTTGTTTTATCAGGGAGGTTATTTTACCAGTCACCCCTGATATTTTTTCCATTGGTATGAAATGGGAAAACCAAACAGAGCAGTAGTCAGGGAAAATAATTCATGTATAATAAAGCATCAAAAAATCGACCCAAAGTCATAGCTGCACAATTCCTTTATTATGTCCAATCAAAATGATAGTAAGGGGTATGCAATCTTTCAAGGTCACCAGTTTTCAGGTTCTCTTCCTTCTGCAGAATATTCTAGGGAACTTTGGCAGCTCACACGCTGTTTTGTGTCACTGCGGTTTAACCCGATAAAGGTATTAAGCAGCTGTATATTTCGGATTTATTTTTTGTGATATATTATTTTCAGAAAAATCAAATTCATTTGGAAATACTACCAAGGAAAATTGGCTTTGGATCATGCTAGCATTCAAGTCTTTCAGGATCTCAGAGTTGGAATGGCGGCATTTTTTTTCCCTATCCCATGAATTGGGGTAAGTGTAAACGTTACTAATAACCAAAGATGAATAAAGATGATATAGTTCTTAAACCATTCTCACTCTGAGTTTCAAAAATAGTGAAATCTACTGGGTTACAATTAAAGTAGTGCTGTTAATGCACTCATCAACAATAAGCACACTAGATCTTCTATTTGTTTGCTTGTTTGTTTGTTTATTCAGCAAATTTAGTAAACAATCAGACATAAAAGCTAACTTATCTTGAAATTTAGTTTTATTTCTTTCCCTTTCAGAAAATATATATATCCCCTTTAGAGGTTAAAACCCTCCCTTATTTTCATTATAAATTTCTATAACTTTGCAGCAAAGTAGAACATGCATTTTTTTTTCTTTCATAGTTCAGGAAGAGGGTTCAACTTCATAGTTTTGGATAAGTAACCTTTCTGTGACTGAGACTTTTAAGTGAAGCCAAGATATTTAAAATAACAGTGCAGGGCCAAAATGAGCAAGAGCTAAAGTTAAATGTATATAGTCATCCCCATGTTATATTCTTTGCTTCAGTCTCATTAAAAATTCAATTTGGTGGTTACATTTGAAAGACTCCAGGAACCACATCCTGGGTTTAGAGAAACATTGTAGACTTGGGTACATAGACAAATTATACTCCGACGTGTCTGAAGCAGCCCACAAAGATTTAGAAATGATATTACCTGAATTATATTCTGAATTAAAACAACTTCAGTTGGATAACTTTTGAATTAAGAGAAACAAATCAATGGCTACATCTGAGAAATATATATACTTCTTTAAATCTTTAGTTTTAATACAATTTCATAGTTCATTATTTTTCAATGACCTTACGCTCATACTGTAGTTGCATTTCTGCTCCAATATATCTCCCAGGGAATCTCCATGTTGGAAGTTAGACATATGTGCACATGCAAAACACATGATTCACTCATATTTTTTGTACTTCCATATATTACCATTACCGTTTTTATGAGACCCAACAGCTGGTTTGCAGAACTATGGGAAGGAGGCCATTTTATTAATGTACAGTTAATTTTGCTCACTGATTTATTTTATTCTGCATATCTGCTGACAAAGTTTTCAAACAACAAAGCAATTATTAAGCATTGCAGTGGGGGAGTGTGTTGTGAGTTTGCACTGAAAAATGATGAAATCAATGCTGTAGTCTACAGTGCAATAAAACATATCTGTTATCCTTTGATTAGAATTCTGCAGAAGGAAGGAAGGAAGGAAATTAAAATAAGGCCAATTAAGATCTTTCTTTGAGTGCCTGATGCTAATATCTCGCAACTACTCTATTGCTTTGAGATTAAAAGGGACCATGTTGAGGACTCTTCCACTGAGTAATAAAATGGAAGTTGGATATCACTGATTAACCATTAAGTTTAAATATCAGTTATGTTATTATTGTACCACTGACAGTTACAATTAAATTATGTGAGCCATAGGAAAAGAGTAGAAAATTTTCAGTGTTTGGGCCAGCAGGACCAATTGTGAAGCAATCTATATTATCTCTTGTACTATTGTAAATAAACCACAATGAATATCATTAGCCCATAAAAGTATTGTTAATATAGGTAGTCCTCCACTTACAACAGTTCATTTAGTGACCATTCAAAGTTACAACGGCACTGAAAAAAGTGACTTATGACCATTTTTCACACTTCGACTGTTGCAGCATTCCCCGTAGATACATGATCAAAATCCAGATGCTTAGCAACTAAGTCATATATTTATGATGTGTCCCAGGGTCATGTGATCACCTTTTGTGACCTTCTGACAAGCAAAGTCAATGGGGAAGCCAGATTCATTTAACACTCATGTTACTAACTGAATAACTGCAGTGATTCACTTAACAACTGCAGCAAGAAAAGTTGTAAAATGGGGCAAAACTCACTTAACAAACTTTTCATTCAGCAGCATAAATTGTATCTTTTGCCCCTTTGCCCAGCTGAACATCAAGTGGCAAAAGGCAAATCAAAATCATAGTGGCTAAGCTAGGCAAATGGAATCTATTCAACAAACTCATTGATATTCTTTCATGGTATAGGCCAGTGGTGGCAAACCTATGCATGGGTGCCAGAGGCGGCACTCAGAGCCCTCTCTGTGGGCACGTGCGCTGTCACCCCAGTCCTAGGCCTTCAGCTGGGTTTTATAAAACTTTTTTGCTTTAGGCCTCCACCAACCTTTTACAAAAAAAAAAAAAAGGTTCAATCAATTAGTCAATTTCAACTTCTCACGGGAAAAAAAAAGATCTTGCAAAGTTGGAATTGATTGATTGAACTTTTTAGTCCCACTCAGTCTGCCATTACCACCGCAGCCATGCCCAGCCAATGGGCCACACGCAGCCAATGGGCCACACCCACCCGGCACCCGACAATGCATAAAGTGGGTTTTAGGTTGCAGTTTGGGCACTCGGTCTCTAAAAGGTTCGCCATCACTGGCATAGGCCATAGGGCAGTGGTAGGCAATCGTGGCTCTTGTGACTCATGAACTTCAACTCCCAGAATTCCTGAGCCAGCATGGGAGTTGAAGTCCACGAGTCATAAAAGAGCCAAGGTTGCCAACCCCTGCCATAGGGTATTCTTCAGCCATAAATAAACGCCTTAAAACAAAAGTCTTCTCTTTAGACCTCCAAATTAAGAAAAAGAGGGATTGAAGTAGAACTTTATAACTGATAAGATGATTATTTAGATCCAGTAAGAGTCAATTTGTATAGGAATGTTACAAGCCCTTGTCCTTTGCCAGTCACCTCTTTACGAGCTTCCTTAGGCCGTGAGCAATGGATGTTGGATTAATGCTTTCATGGGAAAGGAAGGAGAAAGGAATTCTCTGTACCTGTTTGTTCCCTGGCTCATGAGTGAGGCCCAGGTGGTCTTTTCTTGCCATGCTTTTCCTTCCTACAAGAAAGGCATCTTGTAACATGATCACCAGAGAGTGAGGAATGTAAACACGGCAATGATCTGTTAAATATAATTTTGCACCATCCCTTCAGCAGGAGTGCCCGGTTGCAGAGAGTAAGGAAGATGATTTTGGTAGAAATATCCAAGAACTATTCCCAAGGTAAAGATAGATAGCCAGTTTGGTCTAGTGCAGGGGTAGGCAACCTTGGCTCTTTTAGGACTTGTGGACTTCAACTCCCAGAATTCCTGAGCCAGCCATACTGAGGAGAAAAGGAGAGGTTTTCATGCTGAGCCATGCCGACTCAGGAATTCTGGGAGTTGAAGTCCACGAATCATAAAAGAGCCAGGGTTGCCTATCCCTGGTCTAGTGGTTAAGGCACCACATTAGAAACCAGGAGACTGTAGGTTCTTGTTCTGCCTTAAGCCACGAAAGGCAGATGGATGACTTTGAGCCACTCATTCTTTCTCAGACCAACCCACCTCACAGGGTTGTCATTGGGGGGGAAGGACTATTAGTTATGTTTTCTGCCTTGAATAATTGATTAAAAAAAATAAGCGGGGTTAAAAAAATCAATAAAGAAAGAAGACTAAATTCTTTTTAAGCTTGAGAAATGAGATAATGTAGGTAGTCCTCGACTTATAACCGTAATTGAACCTAAAATTTATGTTGCTAAGTGAGACACTTGTTAAGTGAGTTTTGCTCCCTTTTTACAACTTCTCTCGCCACAGTTATTAAGTGAATCACTGCGGTTGTTAAGTTAATAACCCGGTTGCTAAGTGAATCCGGCCTCCTCATTGACTTTGATTGTCAAAAAGTCGCAAAAGGTGTTCATAGAAGCTGGGGAACACTGCAGCCGTCATAAATATGAACCAGTGGCCAAGCATCCAATTCTTGGTCACGTGATCCTGGGGACGTTGCAATGGTCATAAGTGTGAAAAATGATCCTAAGTCACTTTTTTCAGTGATGTTGTAACTTCAAACGGTCACTAAATGAACTGTTGTAAATCGAGGACTAGCCGTATTACCGAAACAGCTGAGGCAGATTCACTGGAATCTATGGGCGGTGGCTGGGGAGAGGTACACCAGAAGAATCAGGCTTGCAAGATTCTGTTGCTGTAGCCAATCTCAGCGGAACTTTTAGCCTCCCTCTGGAGTTGACTTCCTGGTCTTATCTTTTTAATGGGATGGACAACAACTCTTTTGGGGCTTAGACTACACTTGACTTTAGGAGTGGTGTATGAGAACTCGTACTCCGAACTATAAATGGAGACAGGAAAAAAAAAAAAGAAGAAGTAGGCAGCACAAGCTTAATGATGATAATGATAATAATGGTACAGTTAAGATGATTAATGCCCACGCATTTAATGATCTTTTCCCTCAGCCACATTAAAAAAAAATTAATAGTAACTTTTGAGAAGGCTTTGAGAGCCCTAGCCAAGACTTTTGAGGCTTATGTTATGCATCAATGATTTCAGATAAGATGGAATATTCCGACAAGATAGATGATGTAAGTCCTAATAAAATTTAAAATATGGCACCCTTAAATGAAAATGCAAGGATACGGGGCAGCCCTATCGCTAAGTAACAGCTCCATGTGGCAAATGCTGAAGGGCATAGTGTAGTAAGATAAGAGAGGACAATTCTGTGCATCTTGATCTGTTCTCATTGTCTTCATAAGCAATAGACATCATTGTTGAGTAAGACCCAACTCCAGTTTGCTTTTCTGGCAATGGGGAGAAGCAACAATGGACAACAAAATGTTTTCGCCAGCACCAAAGGCAAATTTAGTGACTTACATATATTATTCCAGATGACACAATTATTGCAAAGTGAGTGGAGCATAGATTTGGGGCTTTAGTCCCTCTGATCCTCTCATAACCAAAAAGCACGTGTGCCAAATGAAAATTTTATATTCCTTTTCCTATTAAGCTTGATACATTTGATATGGAGAAGAAAAATAATTACATGCTCCTTGGGGGAGGTTTATTTTAAATCTGAAGCCAGGATCCCATTGAAGCCAATGCTTACATTTTTCAAAAATTTACGTTAGGGAGTATGAATACTCTGAAGCTGCATTTGATGTTTTCTCACACTCATGGTGACATAGTATCTCTGAACTAGTGCCCAACCCGGCATGTGTTTTCCATCTTTTTGCATTGCTCATTGTTTTAACCCTTTGGCTATATACGATTAAATAGCATCTTACTTCATGCATAAATTTGTGGCTACTGCGGTATTCTCAGTAAGAAGAGATCCAGATGTTAACACTTTCATTAACACCACAGAGCTTCTCCATTTACAATGCATAACTCTCTGGAATTATTTGCATATACTGTTGACTACATTAGACCAAACCAACTAGACAAATTTATTTCTCTGCAAAGCCAAGTTCTTCATTAAAGTTGCTGCTGGTAGAGAGTTGGTTTTATTTTTAGATGTCCATAGAGATGATTTCAATGCCATTATTTTTTTCAAAGTTTAGGTAGAGCTAATAATATTAATACATCAACATTATCTGGTGAGCTACATAATTTCTCCCTTTGTGAAATACAAGATGTTCTCCATCTTGTATAAGGTGGTGAGGGTGATGGGTATCAATATAATTCTTTGGAATGCTTCTGACATAACTTGAAGCCAGCATTTGTGACTTATGAGCCCATGATATCTAGCAGGCAGAGTTAGCTTGAGGTTTCCCCCCCTCTCTATTCATTTTTTTGTTACAAAGAAGGAAGGGAACAATGTCTCTTTCGATCCTGAGTAAGAACCTGCTTTTCTGTGCTGAGAAGGAAGTTAGGAATGATCACTCCCTCATCCTTGTTCACTAACATCATTTAAGAGCAGAATATTACAGCCCTTTGGATTCCATTCTCCACCCATGCTTCAAGCTCTGATTTCATGTGATATGAATTATTCTTATATTACTAAGGTGACCAACTTTTTTACAATGAAGAGGAGGACACAAATAAATTGAAGAAAAAAAATATTGTAAATAAAAGAAACATTTTATTCATTGCAACAATAATACAGACAACTTGTATGTGCAAAGTTTGCCAGCTAGGTGTTTTGGCACGCTCAGCAGCAATTCCTATTGGCTTTTGAAAGCCAGTAGTGGGAGTAGCACAGCTCATGCAAAAGTTGAAAAAAAAAACCATCAAAAAAAGGTTCCGGAATGCCATTCTGAGCGTTCTATGAGGGGGAAAAAAAGCCCTGCAGATTAGTCTTCAAATATCGAAAAGGAGGACATGAAGGAGGACACTTTTTGAGGGAGGACAGAACTTACAAAAGGAGGACTGTCCTCCCTAAAGGAGGACGGTTGGTCACCTTAATATTACATCAAAAACTGGGACACTCTCTCATGTGAGACGGCTTGTCCCTTGAAAAACACCATTTTCCTGCTGATTCACCTTGATGTTGCTTGAAGAGGCTGAGGGACAGGTTCCAATAGGGAAGCTCACTTTTGAGGACATGTCCTCACCAAAGGGACACCTCAGAGCTGAGCAAGACGGGTGTGTGGATAAGTGGTTGCCAAAACTAGGACAAATGAATAAGCCAGAAACAAATATTATGTGAGCATAAAAGTAAAAGCCTTCCTTCCTTCCTTCCTTCCTTCCTTCCTTCCTTCCTTCCTTCCTTCCTTCCTTCCTTCCTTCCTTCCTTCCTTCCTTCCCATAACCATAACCATGGCAAAAGTGCATAAGGGAAATTGGAATGAGTCAACCCACAGCTATCATCGTTATCATCATTAAGCTTTATGTCTGTAATACATATTTCAATGCTAGGCCTTGCCAACAGTTTCCGAAAAGAAATAAATTCATTCCTTGTTCTGGCCTCTGCACAATCCAGTTTTGTGCAGCTTGGCTCTCTAGCAACCTTTAAAGAGGATGGGTGTGAATGATTGATATTCTGTACAGAAATAATTTGGGTAAGACCAGCCCTTTTCTTAAAAATAAACTTTTCAACCTATGTTTTATCTTTTCAGAAAATGGAGAAAGAACTAAGAAGTGATGGTGAGAAGGGAAGTTACAATATTTTAAAAACAAATTGCTTAAATCTATTTGAATATTGTCACAGTTATCCAATTAGCATATTGCGCCTATTATAGATCTGGTTCGTTCTGTGAAGATGGGAGAAGCTGATGAAATCCTGTGAGATCATTTTAAGGTTGGAGGCTCAGACCAGTAAATATTTTTTTTAACTAACCTGGCAGAAACTTGTACAAATGTGCAGGGAGTCCTAATACAAGTTGGATTGTCTTGACACTTCAATTAAATTGTAACTTTCAAGGAAAAATCCCCAGTGGCCAATTTTAGTTAAAAACAAAAAGAAAATGTCAGAGATCTTCACAGATGATAGCCATGCCCACCTACCAACTCAGCCACAGCATGATACAGTTTGGGACTGAGCAACCCTAAACATTTAATATCTATATTGTTTCCTAGGTTCCTAGTTTAAAACAGATTTTGTGTAATTATTTGATACATTGCATACCAAGGGTGGCTGAGATTATAGACAGAATCCAGATTCTCCACTTTATCACATCAAGCAGCAAGGCTTGAAGAGAACGTCTACCCAGATAGACTCCAAACTTTAGGCAATCCAAAATACTAAAAAATATAATATAATAAAATAAATCTTAAGGGCATATTCATGGGCCAATAAAATCTTTTAAAAGCCTAAGAAACCTAAACAAGCAAATGTCAGGCATCTTGGTTTTTTAGCCGTACATGAGATACAATTTCAGTGACTGTTATTCAACTAAGACAGTGGTTCTCAACCTGTGGGTCGGGACCCCATTTGGGGTCGAATGACCATTTCACGGGGGTTGCCAAACCATGCTGTCCGCCATTTTTTTCCCTTTTCCGTAGCTGTCCTACTCCCTCTTATTGGTGGCCACACCCACTTGGGGGTCACCACAACATGGGGAACTGTATTATGGGGTCACGGCATTAGAAAGGTTGAGAATCACTGAACTAAGAAAATATTAATAGTGGACATTAGCATGTACTGAATGAGGATGATGCCTGTGCCACTGAGTTGCTGAATTACGGGCAATGCTATGTTGACTTGCAATGCAATTTCTGGATTAGAGATCCTAATTTAAGTAGAATAGAGTAAGCATGCATGGGCAAAATTTGGCTTTTGTTCATGACTTACTGTCCAAAATCTACCAAAATCTGACTGGTGTTCTCTTTATCATAGTGCAGAATTCTGCAAGTAGTATCGACATGACCAAGGCTGATAACATAATCTATACCTTCTCTATCTTACTAAAAATTATTATGTGAAAGGTTCAATTTATCAAAGTTATTAAGACACTCAAGGTCAATGCTTATGAGCTATTTGATGACAACCATGCCATATACTGTAGAAGAATGTAAGTAAAACATTCTGCCTATCAATGTTTTCTGTAACTTCCAGAAAACAAAGAAGATATTAAATGCCAATGACTAAAGCTTCCAAAACCTATAATAAACAGCTTCTGTGTGCTAATCATTCATTACAAAGCATCAAAGTTCAATGCCCATGGAAACAGGTCCTGCTGAAAGATGATATAGGTAGAAGATAATGTTTGTAGCTCAGGGCTGAACTGATGTTGTTACCTAGTTTGGTAATGAAATGTCTGAAAGTAAACCACCAAGGTCACAGAGCACCAAGGGCCCCACGGAAAATGATGTTATTATGATTAATCACATAGTCAACCAGATGTTTAGGCTGGATTTGGCATTTTTGTCCACTTATCGAGTCCTTCTCAAGGATCTAGAATAGGCAGACATTGTTTAATAATATTAAAAATATTCTTGCAGGATGCAAGCTGTTCCAAATAAAGTTGCTGTTTGCAATTGACTGATGATGTACAACTGGTGTTCTTTATGTTTTTGAATTTATTATGATGATGATTGGATGCACAGTCAACCAGATGTTTAGATGGGGTTTGGCATTTTTATCCACTTAGTGAATCTTTCCCAAGGATTTAGGATAAGCAGATATAGTTGCAGGATGTAAGCTGTTCCAAGTAAAACTGCCTTTTGCCATTAACCTATTATAATAATTATAATTATTATTACCAATCAAACTGAACAATGCTTATATTGGAAAACATAGCTGTTACTCATTTTCTAAGATATTTATATTTTGCAAAGGCAGGAAGAATAGATATATGTTACATTTAATGGAAGATGCTAGCTAGTTCAGAGATAACCTTCTAATTATCAGTAGGCAGATTGATAGGTTGTGATATGCAAACATAGACTTTTGCCTGGTCTTATTGTCTCTTGTGTCCACTGCCTGACTGGAATGAGCAACAAGTAGGTGGGGCAAGACAAAATACAACACAACAAAATAAAAAATAAAACAGACTTTTGCCTGCAGCTGTGATGATCTTTAATATTTATTATACAACTGATACCAAATGCTAACTTTATCAGCTTTTCATATAATTGGAGAGAGGGGGGGGGAGAGAGAATTCTATATGATTTTCCCATCTTAATGTGCTTGGTATGGACTACTTGCTGTGAACGTAGAACCAGCATATATATTTATTTAACTCCATTCTTTTCTATCCTACCTTTAAAGAGTAACAACCCCCCCTCCCCAAATGCCTATGGATGTTCTACATTTTCCCAGCTCAGTGGTTACTAATTTGCATCTGATTGTGAAATGTGCATATACTGTCAAATGAAAGGAGGAGGAGGTGGAGGAGGAGGAGGAGAAGGAGAAGAAGAGGAGGAACTATGAAATGCAGAGACCTATGCAAAGAGCCATGTGATTCTGTCACAGGAAAAGGGAAGCAGATCTCACTACTAAGAAGACTGCTAACTTATTAAAATCCAAGCAAGAGAAGGCAAGCAAAATATTTGATAAAGGACAAAAGGATAATTTGAAAGGGGATAAAAAAACGCTCCAGCAACAGCTTGACCAATGGAAGATAGAAGAGGAAAGGGAGGATTGAAAGATAAAAATGATCAAATTGTGAACATGCATCTATGAAGCTAACAGTGGCAATTGTTTGCTTCCCCCCCCCCAATTATATTCTTCCTTCAAGAATCCTGAAAGTAAGAATTTTATATCGTATTACATTTTACATTCAGTCTGAGATGTTAGGAAGAAAGTTTGGCAGAAAGTGAAGCCAGGAAGTAGAGTATCAGGGCTGGACAGAAAAAAAGTTATAGATGTATAGCAAGTGAGACATTATCAATAGCCCAGACATTATATTGTTTATAACTTTACACAAGGCATCACATAGCATGAAAACAAGAAGCTAAAATAGTAGAGGGAAAACATTTGGACCATAAGGCAGTTATCAAACAATTTGAAAGGAAAATTCCTATGTTCTAACATACATAGGCCTCTAATGCCACCTGGGCCTGAATTATTATAAAGAATATCAGGATTTAGCACACCTCTAAACTCACAACATTCATATTCGGGGAGGAAAAACATTGCTTCCCCTTTGTGCTTGTTCAGGGAGCGTCACTGAACACACCAGCACTTTTCTCACAGTGATAACCTTGTTAGTGCTCCATCTAACTGCATGTAACCACCCAGCATGACATCTTTTCGTATTTCTCTTTATGAATAATTTTGTTATACCTCATCCATTTTCAAGTGCTCTTTATTACAGCATGGCATTACATTTATTAGATTTCCCATTGGAGGATTCTTCTTCGTGTTTTTCTTAATAGTGCCATGTACTACCTCTTTTCCCTGTAAAGCTGGCATTTTTCAAAGGACATTTATTAGTTCAAAATTCATGCCAGGAATTTCTTTCATGTAAGAGGAAGATTGCAATATATGCTCACACTTACGATCCAATGTAATCTTAAAAGTGCTAAGCCAACCAAATAGACAGGAAGAGGAGAAGCATTAACCATACAGTATTACCTTCTCTACTTTCAGGTTCTTCCAGATTTTCAGAATAATGAATGTACTCACTTACAGTATAGATTTTGACCAGCTTCTGTTGAAGAATATTCTACAGTACTGTAGTTACTTCTCTGCAGTTGTGATATCTTTGCAGTCCACCAATGAAGGCTAGTTAGAAAAGCATCAATAATTAAATAGGAAGATCACAACACCCTTATGACTGGCCATCAGAGGCTTTGGGGGGTAATGAATCATAACAGACAGAAGTACATCATCAATGAAATAATATATATGCAAGCTGATGACAAATGCTCCACAATGCAAGACAGAGATCAAATCTCTTAGATTAGGGAATAGGGAGGAGGCCTGACTCAAGACAAGCTTTACAAAATGAAAGGCCAAAGGCTTCACATGTCGGGATAGGGCTGGAAAGACACCAAGGGGAAGTCCAGGAAAATCATGGCCAATCAGCATCAGTCATTTTTGGTTAAGTAGTCCAATCATGTGATTCAGAATCTGGCAGTTTCCTATGTGCCTATTTGGTTGTTAGTTGTGAGCAGCTAACCACAAGAATCAGCAATACTTCAAGTAGAGGAAGCCAACACGTAGCAATGGAAAGGAGGCGAAACTGATATCTATCAACCTCTGACCAGCAGCTTATCCCTCTTGCTTATGTGAGTTCTTTGTAAAAACCTGGGCCAAGAAAGATTGAATTTACTTGGCTAGCCAATGTGGCACCTGTATGACAGCAGACATGGAAATGAGATTTGGCAATAGGCTTACCCCTCACTGACTGCCCATGAAATTATAAAAATAAAACAATTTGAACAAAATGTTTTATTTTTTGCTTCCGGACCAAACCTTCTTTTATTCCACCTTGTTGCCTGATTTGTCTTTTTTTTTCTCTTTTGTGGATATTTGAATCTTTTGCCCACTTTCATTCTTTTGATTAAACTGGGGTCAGAGGAAGTCTTAAGCAATTATTTCTCTGACAACCGTCTTCAACCATTTTTAAACAAGCAAAACACTTATCTATCTCTAGCCAAAGTGATTCATCTGCGTATGTTTTAAAATGAGCACAGCACTCTGGGCAGAATTATGCTGGGAATTTCTGCCACAAACTGCTCTGGAACAATATAAAGTTAATAACTGGGTGTGAGTCAGAAACATGATTTGGGAAAAAAAAAAGATATAGATGACTTCTTTGAAGAACATGCTTGTGTTTTAACAGCTGCAAGGATAGTATTTGCCCAATTTTGGAAAAATGAGAATATACCATCCGACCAGATTATTATTACCAAAATTTTAGAGTGTGCAGAAATGGACAGACTAACATTAGAAATGAAAGAAAAAGATGATTCAATTTATTTTAGAACTTGGGAAAAATTTTATCAATGGTTAGAGACACGTTAGAACGTGAAGGATTTAATATTTTAGAATAGATGACTGATTTTTAATTGAGTTCTAATTAACATTTTGATGATATAATTACTTTTCTTGATTTACTGATTTTCATTTGTTACTTTTGATTGTTGGGATTTATTTATTTTTTTGAGATTTTATTAGTAGTGTTTACTTAATAGATTAACCTATTTGTTTACTACTTGTTTTTAATATGTTACAGTTTAAGCTTTGTTAAAAATGGTTGAATATGATATTTACTCATTATTATGATCCGGACAGTTGCTTGTTTATTGAAATATGTGATTGTACCTTTCCTTATTTTACCCCAATTCCTTATTTCCTTCCCCTCCCCTCTTCCTTTTACCCCTCCCTTTACCATACCTGTATTGTTCCTAATTTTCCTCACCTATATAAATTTAATAAAATTTTGTTAAAAAAAAAAAAGAACATGCTTGGAATAATACGAGAGTCGGCTGGTGTTCCTTAGGATTTGTGGACCAAAAGTATTTTGCTGGTGACTTTTCTTCTCTTATTCGTATCCTTATTGATGCCCTGTAACATATGCTACACCAGCCTTGTGTGCAACCTTTATAGAGCATGGAGTACTAGCACACTGATTAGCAAGCAATTTATATCAAAGAATAATTCTGTGTGGAAGCCTATATAAGAGAGAAGTGAGCAACTTTTATTGACTCAAGGCAACTCTGCGCATTGCACCTTAAGGATGAAGGATGTAGGACAGAATCTATTGGGCTTTGTTCTAACTTTGCTAAGGTGAATTTTCAGAGCCATAATGTAAAAGCAAACCTTCTAATGGATTGTTTCTCAGAAGTATAGGATTCCAAATCATAATGTTCCCAAGAGGGTTTGGCTCGTGGCAGAGCTAGTTAGCGGTGCTAGGAGAAACTATGATCTCAATTTGGAAACATCAAGCTGAGAAAGATTGGTGAAGAAGAAGAAGAAAGATATGTGTTCCCTATCTATAGTTCTGTGTATTTTCAAGCACCACAATTAGACCTTGGTTTTGAAAGTTCAAGATAGGTATGACTCTCAATTTTTAAGATTCGTTTGAGGACTGAGTAGCAGCAGAAATTTCAAATACAAAATCCTATTAGACTAATTGCTTTATTGCAGTCAAGAAAGAAGATCCATCTGAAATAAGCCCCTACTTATACAGTATCCATATATACAGTATATCCATATCTATAATCTGTCGGTCCAGGGATTTATTTCAATATTTTTCTTCCTGTATCCTTGGGTCTACAGCCATATTGTCATTCTTTTCTCAACACTGAGTTTGGAATGCATCTATTTTGTGTTTATATAACAGTTTTGTTTAGCCTGAGCAGTGTTGGCTCTCATCTTATTAACTTTATCCTTTAAAAGTTCCTTTCCCTCTACATATGTTTCAACAGTTGTTATCTGTACCACAAGCAAGCTTTCTAGTCCCGAACTCTGAATTTTCTTTTTCAGCTCAGCTTTCCCTATTCCAGTCTGCTATCTGCTTTTCTCCCTTATGATATCTTTAAAGTCCATCACTGGTCCACTCTTGTAGCTTGATATCTCTTCCAGTGTTTCCTTGAATTCCATGCTTCAGGTATTGACTCTATAAATAGTAGCCACTTTGCACTGATACTTTAATCTTTCCCAACCAAAGAAGTGATGATGAAGTTATCAAAAATAACATAAGTGATTTTTATTATAAAGCACATTTTTATCAGTTCTTTTCCTTTATGATGTCTCTTGCCTATAGACCCAAACTGTATCCTCTCATTCTCTTGTCCTATGTAACCCAGGAGATCAATATGTGAATCCTTTTCAGTCTCTGATCATATCCTTGTACAATACTGGGATTTGCTGCCATTGAGGTTGACAAAAGAGGAGAGAAATATAACAGCAAAATAAATTGCATTTGTTTTTGTAAGAGAAATTTTCTGTACATTCTGGAATATAGAAGATTAAGAATATTCATTTCGATAAATACAATTTTGTACCAATTCTAAAACATATAAAAGATAACATACGAGGGTTCCCCCCCTCTTGATAACATGTTATTTGAATTTATTATTTAGAAAAGGAAAGACATTGAGTTAGATTAAAAGGAAGTTATTCCGCCCCCAGTGTTACAATAATTGTAATTAGAGAATAACATCAAATTACAGTGTGTTATAATTTATGTTCTCTTATCTTCTATTTCAGGCTTTTTTTAATATTGTGGTTCTTCCTTAAAAATTATACTGATAAGCTAATGGAAACCCAGTAATTTGAGAAACTACCTTTCCTCTATTATTTCTACCCATCCTATCAGGTCCAACAGGAGGAACATGTTGTGGATGTTTGGATCCCACC